AGTCCATATTTTCATGAGAAAAGCATCAAAGTAGGCCATTGTATTACCTCTTGTTCCTGATTCGACACAAGGTATATATCCTGTATATGTTATAAACTCTAGAGCATGAATAATACGCTGTTTAACGCCAGATTGTATCAAACGAAGTGTATCGCAGTCATTACAAGCAGTAACAATTCCGTGTCAGTTATACTTTAGTTTGTCTGTTCATCGACATTCATATGCTAAATCGACAATCAGAAGAGACAAAGTGCGGCGTCTGTAACAACGATGCATGTGAATGTGTCATTTGCGATGTAGCATCCAGTTGCCATAACGACAGTGCTGGCAGTGTATAGGTTCATTGTACTAGTTCAACGGTTCATTTATACAAGCTCGTGTTTTTTCAGTTTATTTCCAAACTTTAGAAACAAGAATATTTTGGAGAATGGATCTAAACACTAACGTGAAAGTCCAATAGGTTGTCTAATTGTTACATATTTTTGGTAAGTGTAATTTCATATAATCATTGTTTAATTTGTTAAATTTTGTTTAGTTTATAACGTACAGATTCATTAATGCTGTAAATACAAGTAGTCTAAAGAGAGAAAAACACAATCATGAGAACTCTTTGCTAGAAGAGCGTCCATTGTAAGATTCCAACCGTATAATAAGCATGGCTTTATGCACCTCTATCAAATCGTAATTCAATATCAATGTGTCACGTTTTATTACAACAGTTACGTCAACATAGAGAAATGTCACTCACTCACTCACTCACTCACTCACTCACTCACTCACTCACTCACTCACACTCACTCACTCACTCACTCACTCACTCACTCACTCACTCACTCACTCACTCACTCACTCACTCACTCACTCACTCACTCACTCACTCACTCACTCACTCACTCACAATCCACGCTCTCGAGCGCTCTCTCATCCACTCAACTTGAATATACTCCCTAACGTATGTCTGGTGTAGATATGTCCCCAACAGGTGGGTATGTCACCCGCATTAACAAGCTTTTCATACATCCATGCAGGCGATCAAGGACGGATGGTGGGGTAGCCTAGTGGTTAAAGCGTTCGCTCGTCACGCCGAAGACCCGGGTTCGATTCCCCACATGGGTACAATATGTGAAGCCCATTTCTGGTGTCCCCCGCCGTGATATTGCTGGCATATTGCTAAAAGCGGCGTAAAACCATAACCACTCACTCACTCACAGACATATACACAGACACAGGTACAGGTGACCGGTCGCTGGCATACTGTCCATGGTCAGCTCGCCCTGGCTGGAAACCTGTAGCTAGCACAACACGGAAACGCAGACCAAGTATGTAGTGACACACAGACTTCAGTTGTAGCACAGAGTTGTTGATGCAATAGGTACCGGCTGTTATATCACACGAGAGTCGTACGCGGGTACTTGGCAGTACTTAGAGTTACTCTACTACATCCTACAAGCCTGCTCCTCAGACTGCACAGTCAGGCATGTTTCACGTGACACCAACACGTCGTCTATGGAATACTTTAGAGCATAATACACTTCCTTTCTATGAGAATAGAAGCGACAAAACCCTTCCCACATCCATAAGAAATATCTACTGAAAGCAGAGTCGTTTGTACAATTGTAACTATCTCATGAGCATATATATTTGTTTCAGCAATATTACAGCTATACGATGTTGTTTGTAAACAATCAAGTCTGGATCAGACAATCAAGTGATTGTCACCATGCGATACGATGTGTTTATGAATCACTATGAAATAGTGAATGATACCAGGTGTTCGCGAAAAGGTGAGCGTATCCTGCCCCACCGGTGCCACCCGTCATAAACATACAAATTCCCTTAAGACAGCTACATAAACTTGCCTTTTTATTAATGTATTCGTGAAATAAAATATTTCACACTCACGGGCAGGAATAGTTTCGCGAATCCACATACATTGTATGGCTCTCGTTCAACCCTATTTCTATGAAAATGAGTATTATACAAAATATGCAATTATTGTTCAGATTTTATCATTCTCACTGTTTTGTACGACACAATCACGGTGTATTAGAGTGGGATAGGTTTAAGAAATTCGAAAGGGTTAGAGTTTACGAAGAATATTTATCAAACGTATATGTGATTCAAGTGAAACTGATCATGAAAATACCGGCTTCACTCTGCGCATTATGTCACCTTCGAAAAAACCTCGCACTAGTTTCATTTTCGCCACCATCAAACACAGATATATGCTAAAACTATTTACATGTAAACAGCGCTGCTGTCAGTCCTCGGGACAAATCATGTAAGGTGCAAGAAGTTATGCAATGTTAAAGCAATCTGTATAAACTGAAGGTTGCAAGATTACACCGGCTTCAATCAAATGCTAAAACTGTAGTTGATCACTGGATTGTCTGGTCCAGACTCGATTATTTACAGACCCCCGCCGTATAGCTGGAATATTGCTGAGTGCGGCGTAAAACTAAACAACCCCAAGTACCAGAATCTGTAGGGCCACTTCGCTTACAAAGTATAAACCCAAACATAGCATACCTTACATTTGACCACTTTCTACATGGCATAGTGTATTCATACATGGGTCTTGTTTTACACTGTATATAAATAAAAGAAGATTTCCTGTCTACGTTTCTATTTGACGTTTGTGGACATGTAAAAAAATATTAACATAAATATTTCATATATTCTTCCCGTAAAGTGGTAATTGTTTTTCATACTCAGCCTAGTTTAATCCATGTAAATTATTAATCGGATTTATTGATACTTAAGTATTCATTTATGTGGGATGTTTTATGTATTCTGCATGAATGTATGTAATTAAAACTAAAATAAATATACATCATGTCTTGTTAAGATCATTAATGTCGCACAAGTTAAAGTAACACGGGAGGTAAACCATGGCCCTTTCACAAGCACCGACGTTTGTATCAGGTACTGTATCAGGCTGTCCCAGCGTCTGTGTCAAACCATGGCCCTATCACAAGCACCGACGTTTGTATCAGGTACTGTATCAGGCTGTCCCAGCGTCTGTGTCAAACCATGGCCCTATCACAAGCACCGACGTTTGTATCAGGTACTGTATCAGGCTGTCCCAGCGTCTGTGTGTAACCAGGGCACTGTCACTAGCACCGACGTTTGTATCAGGTACTGTATCAGGCTGTCCCAGCGTCTGTGTGTAACCAGGGCACCGTCACTAGCCCCGACGTTTGTATCAGGTACTGTATCAGGCTGTCCCAGCGTCTGTGTCAAACCAGGGCACCGTCACTAGCACCGACGTTTGTATCAGGTACTGTATCAGGCTGTCCCAGCGTCTGTGTCAAACCAGGGCGCCGTCACTAGCACCGACGTTTGTATCAGGTACTGTATCAGGCTGTCCCAGCGTCTGTGTGTAACGAGGGCACCGTCACTAGCCCCGACGTTTGTATCAGGTACAGTATCAGGCTGTCCCAGCGTCTGTGTCAAACCAGGGCGCCGTCACTAGCACCGACGTTTGTATCAGGTACTGTATCAGGCTGTCCCAGCGTCTGTGTGTAACCAGGGCACCGTCACTAGCCCCGACGTTTGTATCAGGTACTGTATCAGGCTGTCCCAGCGTCTGTGTCAAACCAGGGCACCGTCACTAGCACCGACTTGCCAGTGTTCTTGTATCAAGTATTGAATCATGCAGTGTCGGTGTCTGTGACAAATGAATGTACCGTCTCCTACACTGACACCTGTCCAGGTGGATGGGCGGGTGAACAAGCAAGCGACTGGCTGTCGTTTTTGTAAGATTCAACAACGTAAACGTCAACGTCAATGTCAACAGAATTTAACTTGTTCTCGAACGCTTCCGCACGTGTTTGTTTGTCTGAGTCCGGCAACAGCCAGTTTTAATAGTGTTAGCCGACTGAGATACCATCCGCAACCAAACATGGGTGGCCTACAATACTACGTAATACTAACTCCGAAGTGACCATCCCTTATCTCGTAAACGCCAAGCGTCAGGCAATGTAACTTGAAGTTCCAAGTTGTATCGTATTTTCCTTATTATATATGCTGTAAAATAGTTCACATGAATTACACGTGTGATGTGTGAGGGAATTACAGATATGTTGTCACATGTGACCTTCAAGTCACCCTCCCAAATGTGTCAATGTCCATCGGTATCCAAGAACACATTTACCACGAGCGGACGTTGCCCTAGTTGGATTATAATCTGACTAGTAACAGACCACCTAGTTGACGAATGCCGCACCGAGACCATATTGATGACAGAATAAACATGGTGGTCATGTAGGATCAGGAACATAATGTCTATATGGAATTAAGTGATACAGAATTGCCTCGTCACGAAATGTCGCTGTCAAGTCCTATCAAGGGTTTTCTGTTACCACATGCATATCAACTTAATTACATGTATTAATGGGTATTTCATAGTTCACATTAAGTAAACGTTTCCAGCGGGATAACTCGTTCTATTGTTTTAAGAACGGCGTTAATAGTAGTTTGTTAATATGCAAATAGCTTTATTAGAGGACAGTGGCACATCGGCAGATCGAGTTCGTCGGGTTCACACAACCGCGGCAATGACTTCGGGGGTTCTGCTGCTGAGAGGGACGTGGTGTTTTGACAGGTAAACCCCCCACTAAGTACATGTGTCACTCTGACGGACGGACCCCCAGGTAATGTCAGGTACATGGGGGCTGGACAAAACCACACATCGTGCCAACATATCCATGAAGAAATAGGTCGCCAGTGTGTCGTTTTTCTAATAAGCACAAAATGTATTGGGCAAATCCAGTTGCGGATCATGAATAGTTTGGGGAATTGTTTTTGTTGTGAAGACTGACCACTTTCTTCAGCATATAAAACAGGAGTAGATTTTTTTCCAGGTTATCATAAAACGCATTTGTTTTCTTTCAACAGACAAGTTGTTATGCATGTAGCTGTTCTGGTTAATAACCCCCAAAGTTGTGTTACGTTAGAAGCGCGATATATCGGTGCTAATGTTTATCTCCCTTAACCGTTTAATGCCTGGCACTGGTCTCGACATTGCCTAATGGGGGATGCCTGGCACTGGTCTCAAGATGGTCTAATTGGGGATGACTGGCACTGGTCTCGACATGGTCTAATGAGGGATGACTGGCACTGGTCTCGACATGGTCTAATGAGGGATGACTGGCACTGGTCTCGACATGGTCTAATGGGGGATGACTTGCACTGGTCTCAACACGGTCTAATGGGGAATGACTGGCACTGGTCTCAACACGGTCTAATGGGGGATGACTGGCACTGGTCTCAACATGGTCTAATCGGGGGTGACTGTAACTGGTTTCAACATGGTCTAATGGAACATGGCTGGCACTGGTCTCGACATGGTCTAATTGAGCATGACTGGCACTGGTCTCGACACGGTCTAATGGGGGATGACTGGCACTGGTCTCAACATGGTCTAATGGGGGATGACTGGCACTGGTCTCAACATGGTCTAATGGGGGATGACTGGCACTGGTCTCAACATGGTCTAATGGGGGATGACTGGCACTGGTCTCAACATGGTCTAATGGAGCATGACTGACACTGGTCTCGACATGGTCTAATGGGGGATGACTGACACTGGTCTCAACATGGTCTAATGGGGGATGACTGGCACTGGTCTCATCATGGTCTAATGGGGGATGACTGGCACTGGTCTCAACATGGTCTAATGGAGCATGACTGACACTGGTCTCAACATGGTCTAATGGAGCATGACTGACACTGGTCTCAACATGGTCTAATGGGGGATAACTGGCACTGGTCTCGACATGGTCTAATGAGGGATGACTGGCACTGGTCTCGACATGGTCTAATGGGGGATGACTGGCACTGGACTTGACATGGTCTAATGGGGGATGACTGTCACTGGTCTCAACATAGTCTAATGGAGCAAGACTGGCACTGGTCTCAACATGGTCTAATGGGGGATGACTGGCACTGGTCTCGACACGGTCTAATGGGGGATAACTGGCACTGGTCTCAACATAGTCTAATGGAGCAAGACTGGCACTGGTCTCGACATGGTCTAATGGGGGATGGCTGGCACTGGTCTCAACATAGTCTAATGGAGCAAGACTGGCACTGGTCTCAACATGGTCTAATGGGGGATGACTGGCACTGGTCTCGACACGGTCTAATGGGGGATAACTGGTACTGGTTTCGACATGGTCTAATGGGGGATGACTGGCAATGGTCTCGACATGGTCTGATTGGGAATTACTGGCACTGGTCTCGACATGGTTTACTTGGTGATGACTTGCACTGGTCTCGACATGGTTTACTGGGCGATGACTGGCACTGGTCTCAACATGGACTAATGGGGGATGACTGGCACTGGTCTCAACATGGTCCAGCTATATTGTGTGGGGCATACGACCTGAGTAGCCTGTTGTGTTCTTGAAATCTCGACATTGTACCCACGCGTTACTGCATGCCGAAAGGTCTTCATGAATACCTAGAAACCACGAACACACCGGTTCAGTCTATGTATAACATAAACAGTGCATTTGGTCATCGTGTTGACGTGGTCCGTCAACTGTGTTTTTTTCTTCCTGCAAAACACCTGTTTGATGAGCATGGTCAAGAATGTCAGTCCAGCACTGTTCATCTCTACGCTATGACTGAATTGTAGATTGGGTGGATTTCGGTCCGTTGGCTGGATAGTATATGCGCTGGTCACCCAAGCAGTAGCTATTAGAAACACAGGCAACAAAGGCAAACTGACTAGAAAATGTCCAGAGGACGAACTCAGTTAACCACCGTACGCTTGGCTCGATGCTCGCACCAGCGATCAACTATTCTTCAGGTTCGAACACTCGTTGCAGGTCGAGGTGCGGGGACACACAAACAACATTTATAACACGACAATATCTAAGATAACATTATTTACAAGCAAGGTGATCGTGGTACAGGTTAGGCGTTACAACTTAAGTGAAAGACGAGACGAGAGCCAGAACATGGTCAAGTTACTGAGCTTCGAACTTACGACTATGGTATGCTAGTTCTCCCAAAAACGATCTGGACACCCTCCAGCACTGGTAACAACTACCCGTGAAGATGCGGGTTAGAATTGATCTTCAGCAACCCATGTTTGTCGTAAGAGGCAACTAACGGTATCGGGTGATCAGGCTCTCGCTGACTTGTTTGACTATTGTCCGTAGCTCGATGCTCATGCTGTTGATCACTGGATTGTCTGGTCCAGACTCGATTACTTACAGACCGCCGCCATATAGCTGGAATATTGCTGAGTGCGGCGTTAAACAACACGCAAACTGTTAACAACAGTGTGTTCAGAGCATTTACTTTATGCGATGTTTCATTTATTAAAATGTACGTACTATAATATACCACGTACGTGAATTAATACACAATTTAACTTTCATGTAACATAACTATTGATATAGAGAACAAAAGCAGTAAGATTAGGGGACGTGTGCCCACAGAGTGCATATTTTATCGCATTAGACTATTAACCAACACTATCTCATCCGATGAAACAGCGTGTATATTTCAATTAATACTGACAGCTGACGAAGATCAAATGCAATGTAATGTAATAACACTGCAATGAAATGGAGAGTAGCCAAGATGGTCCTCTGTGGAAGATATTTGCTTAGCCACGTTCTAGACATGTACGCGTAATTTACAACCACTGGTTGCGAGTTCCTCAACGCCGTGTACCGAGTGACCTTTAACCTGTGATCAGGTCACTTGCAAGGTTGTACATGGCCCAGATTCCGGAATGTTCGTCCAGTAACGTACACGTCAGGTAGTGCAGGTGTATATATCAGTGTCGACTTAGTCCCTGGATGTTGGGTGTGTGTCAAGCATCGTGTCATTTCTCTGATTTGTGGCTCAGTGACTGCTGTATACATTCTTGAGTAACTAACCGTAGTCTGGTATTTGCTGCTCTGATACCAGATCCGAATACCGCGTCTTTAGACACAGGTACACAAATCAAAGTTGACAGCTGACAGGCTGGGTGAAGCCCCATCATCAGTAACATATATAAACAAACACCCTATGTTAGAACACCTTTCAAAGAACACTTCGCTGCGTTCATATGTTAATAATTTTTCATTTGTGAGGATAATCACAGGCAAATTGTAGCGCAAAGAGGGTTGCGCATCAAAGAGAAAATGACCAGTCTTCCTAAATGCGAGCGAAGCGAGCAAAGGTTCGGTTCGAAAAATATTTTTAATGTCAAAATAAATTATCGCCATCATCAAAGGTAGACACCCATGTCCTCACAGAGTTGTGCTCTCAGATTTCCAACCTCATATTTAATAATTACTCACGTCGATATATTTAATTCAACATTTTAAGCGCCACTCGGTTCAACGAGACCACCGTGGGCATCCAGAACTGCACGGCATCGCCTCGGCATCGAACGAATAAGTCTCAGAATCTGGTGTTGCCCAATCGCAGCCCACTCTGCCTGTAGTGCCTGTGCGAGTTGCTGAAGTGTCTGGGGCTGAGGGTTACGGCGTCGCACCCGTCTGTCGAGGGCATCCCACAGATGTTCGATCGGGTTTAAGTCCGGTGATCTTGAGGGCCAGGGGAGCACATTGATGTTGTGGTTCTGGAGGAAGTCTAGTGTGACGTGCTGTGTGGGGCCTGGCATTGTCCTGTTGAAATAACTCCCTCTGGCGATCAACGATTGGAAGGGGGTGTGGGCGTAGGGTTTCGTCACAGTATCGTTGAGCTGTCAGGTTGCCCTGGATCATCACCAAATCACTTCTCCTACGACAGGTGATCGCTCCCCACATCGTAACACTTTCCCGGCCGAATCTGTCCACCTGAGGAACGCAAGCGTCGGCGAAACGTTCACGTCGACGTCTGTACACCCCCATTCTTCAATCGCGTCGTTCCAATAGAAATCGTGATTCATCACTGAACCAGATTCTACGCCAATTCGGTAGGTTCCAGGCCTGAACGTTGGTGCACCATTGAACTCGATGTCGACAATGTTGTTGTCGAAGCACAGGGCCAAAATAAGGTCTTCTGGCACGTAAACCAGCCTCTCTCAACCTGTTCCTGACGGTCTGTGCAGAAAGCCTCCTCAATCCGGGTATTTGTCGAGCGGTACTGGTCGTCGTAGCTGTTCGATGACGCAGGTGATGTACCCGGATGTAGCGATACTGCGCCGCAGTGGTCGCTCGAGGTCGCCCACTACGAGGGGCATCTGCTACCGCATTCTGCCGGCGATATCTCTCCCAGAAATAATGCATTGGTGAACATTCATGCGTCGGGCAACTGCACGTTGAGACTGGCCAGCTTCAAGCAAACCAATGGCGATATGACGGTTGGCTTCACTTAGACGTGGCATTTTGCGTTCGTCAACAATATTCCAAATACAATGAATAATCGACAGACAGCGATCAACCTTTTATACCTATCATTGAGACAATCTGATCCCCAACTTCCACGTGCATTGCATGTGAATTGTGTATTCTGTGACACTACACGCCGAAATTGAAAATCATGCTGTTAAATACGGGTATTTTCCGGATGGTGTGTTTTGTTGTGATGTTTCAAACATAAACACTATAGGACTCATAAACAGAGCAAAACCTTTTGTAAAATGAAGCACATTTTAATTCATTGCTACATGAAATTGCTATTTTCATGATGCGTTTCTTTTTGGGGGAGAGTATAAAATTATACCACTCGTGTTTTACGAACATAAATGTGTTGTGAAAAAATGAACAGATTCTCTGTTCTGAAAAAAAATAATGACTTAAATTATTGTATGGCTAAACCAAAAGCTGGGAGCACAACCGTCTTTATCGTAAGGATCTTTACGTCCATGTTCTTAATGAACCGAGTCATGTACTTCACGATGGTCGTAACGCGCGCCACGTAACGGGCGACTGAATGTATCAGACTCGCTGACTTAGTTGACTGTGTCAGCTACTGGATATTGTATGCCAGACCTTCACTAATGTTCAGTGTCACAGGCAGTTCTCTAGTTCTGCATAGAATTTGTAATAAGTTAATATACTATACATTTTGTTCTCTCAAACGACACAATTCGGAGAGTCGTAGAGACAAAATGGCTTCGGGGAGTGAGGCCTGGTTCCTGTCACACGTACACACGCTAGTGCCTTACGAACATGTGTACGTACATTTGAAACTGTGTATCGGAAAACACGCTGGAAATATTCAGCTATCGGCCTTAGTCTCTTTAAACAGGTATCGCCGAAAGTGTACATACTCGCTTGGTACATTAAACAAGGTCTATTAACCTAGTCGTGTCCCTTTGTGTATTCATCGATTAACCGCCAGCAAGGTGCGAACTATGCATTCACAGGATCCGAACTAGCCAGGTTTCACTGTAGACAATTCTGATATGTATCGTGCGACAGGAGTCGATCATGATTCAGAATGTTTGAACAGGCGTGGTTCTAGACACTACTATAAGTAGTCCTTAAGACGTAGACTCATAATTCACAGTGTCTAGACAAACAGAGTCTCACTCTAGACGCATTTGCTATCAGTCGTCGTTAAGACGGGGATCCACGGTTCACAGCGTACGGACAAGCACGGTTCCATTCTTGACAAACCTGCTATGAGCCGTCCTTAAGACGAGGATCCAGAATTTACAGTGTCCGGACAAGCTAGGCCCCACTCTAGACAAACCTGCTATTAATCATCATTAAGGCAGAGATACAGAATTCACAGTGTCCGGACACGCCAGGTCCGACTCGAGACAAACCTGCTATTAATTGTCGTTAAGACAGAGATCCAGGATTCACAGTGTCCGGACTAACGAAGTTTCATTGTATTACAATTTCAAGACCTACAGCCTATGGAATCGACCACCCCACGACAGCAAAGTGTCAGTGAGTCATAGTGACTCACGTCCTATTGTACTGACAGTGGCCAAACAAGCTCATCTCGGCTATTTACCTAACATACACGATAGCAATAACAATAACGTGTCTCGTTCCGACTGAATTCCATAGAATAGACACACTAAATAAATCTTCGCCTCCCCTTTCTTTCCAAAAAGTCACAACATGGTTTCCTGAATATTATCATAAACGTTGGTTAAATTCAACGGAAAGTTTAGTCTTACTCTGCAATAATGTGGCAGCTATGAATATCTAAACTGTGTCTCGCGTGTGTATATGGCTGTATAAACGACTGGTGTATTATTCGTATTTGACAAAACTACAGAGCGCATCCAAACTACAAGTCATAAAGACGTGATAACGTTCCCTATTGCTATCAACCTTTTGTAATACATGTCCCGGACAAAACTTTCCCTGCGCACCATTCACCTATATCAATACGTCAACCGTCGATTACCACAAACCATCATCGCGATAAAAAGATGGGCTTGAAATGCTATGGCAGGGTTTAAGACCATTTATTGTTGCCTCTACACCGTAAAAATACAAATTTAGAAACATGGTTGATAAAGATCTAAGGTAATAGAATTTTCCTTAACGCATTGCCATTGAAACCAAACGTGCTTGGATCTTTGTTGCCGTGATGTGGTCTGTCGCTTTGCACGGTCTAGTCTCGGGCCAGTTCGCAGTGTTCGCAAGTTTTGAAACATGGCATTGAGTTTTTTCATGTGTTCGGGACTGCATCACTGACTGACTGACTGAGTTTAGTTTTACGCCGCTTTTAGCAATATTCCAGCAATATCACGGCGGGGACACCAGAAATGGGCTTAACACATTGTGCCCATGTGGGGAATCGAACCAGGGTCTTCGGCGTGACGAGCCAACGCTTTAACCACTAGGCTACCCCACCGCCCCGGACTGCATCATTGGCTTAACAGTCCCCAATGTAAGCCTGGAGAAGGGTAGGGCTAATTTGTCAATACGGTACTGTCACACGTGAAGATTTAGACATATTTATCACGTGTATCGACGATTTCTTGTTTCTAAAGTGTGCAGGAGGATTGACTTTCTTGGTTGTAAAATGTGAATGTTGTTTAGGGGGGTTGAACTTGTCTTTTTTAAGGGTTATGAAGATATGTCACGATGACGTATTCATTCAGAAAATGTTGGACCCATCGGATCAGATTGTCAGGCTGGCTGGCTGGTTTAATGCATGTTATCATATCGGAATGCTCAATCACGGGATTGTTTGGTCTCGGCTGGACCATTACAGATCGAGGTCATGCAGTCTGTCTCACAGTCCCTGAACCACATTATTTCCCCTACTGCCTAGCCCTCTCTGTGAAGCCCATTTGTGATTACCCCAGCCGTTATATTGCAGAAACATTGTTCAAAGCTGCATAAAACCGTACTCACTCACTCTTCACTGCCAGCCACTCACACCACATACCTAAATTGGCACTCAAAGTAACATTCACGCACACGCACACGCACACGCACACGCATACGCACTCGCACACACGCATATGTATTTCATATGGGCATCATATCCTCATACATTGTCATTTGCTCACAATAGGTCCGAACGGAGAATTTTTCATATCAGCAGTTCGTAATGTATATTACGAGAATATATAAAAGTAGGTGCTCGCTGCATGCCGAATGAAAGCAGGTTGCCGTTGTACAAAGCGATCTTATCGGTGTCCTCAACTCCCTTATTACATTAATATAGACTTAAGGCAGTCTTAGCCCTAAGGTTGTTTTGTACATCAGCACCCTGAACATGTTACCCACCAAGGCAAGGAGGACTGTCCTTACTGCACAGGTCACAAACTACAGGTCACATTCTACAGGTTACGCATTGTGGCGCGTTCCATTTCTTTTACCAGAGTCAAACCGGAACCTGTAACACGGGTAATTACAACGCAGACACATTCTCCTTAATCAAAGTCTAGTTATTCTGTGACCGCCCCTCAATACAATCACCCCCAAGCCCACGTAGGTCCCGACATACCGGCCGCATCACTTACATAGTTGTCAATACTGACATTAAGCATTACCCTTATCGACCCCTGAATTCGATATGATGTTGTCACTGCGCGCCCTGTGTGGTGTAAGATGGGTGTCGTCACTGGTAGGGTACTGGTTACACCTGTGGGGATCACACACGTCTCCACACACGGCACTGTTACAGGAAACTCGTCACGATTACAGGACATATCGGGCAAAGGGTAGATGTTTGCTACCTGTATGTTTACATGCCAAGTCAAGGCAAGCTGAATAATGTAAACTGTCATTAGTTGTATATCCCAGCGGTAAAAAGAGTTATTGATGAAACTTGTCAGCTGATGTAAAAAAGCGAGTTCGCGCTGTAACAAGAGAATCTGTATGTGGGCCTTTATTGGGCATTGGACATTTCATTTACATTACCGCCTAAACACGTCTTTATACGATGTATGAATAACAAATAATGGGGCGATAAAATTTTAATTATGGCCACTTTGCGAAATGTTTGCTTGGTGTGTTTTTCTGAATAATAATTGAATTATCCAAAGAAGTGGAGTCCGTTTCTACTAGTTTGTAAATAAAATCGAAACCCTGAGGTACAAACCCATGTCTAAGGTACAACTATTGTGCTCATTATCTTACACCAACAGATCATTTTCCATTTTGCTTGTCGTACACGTGCACATATTTTATCTTATCAGCAGAACTCCAGACGCCGCATGCCCGACACGCGACCTTGTAAGGAATACAGCACTTGGCTTTGACATGCGATGGTTGGCTGAAGTCACGCTCTGGCATGAAGTGTCTTGAGACACAAGTTATCTTCTCCGGTCATCGCAACTGAGTACATCGTTAGACGACCACCTGTTCCGTACAGCGACGAGCAGCTTCAACACTGCACAAGAATACGTTCCCGTGAATTCCCAACCATAGAGAAAAAACTCGCAGGAGTTTTCGTAATTACGCGAGTTTCTTATGGCACTGGGTCGGGTAGTGTTTTCTTCAGATGTAACTCTGACGATGTTACGCTGGTGCATGAACGAAGCGCGATATTGAGGAAACGGATGCTGTCACGAAGAAAGACGCCTGATTTGTGGTTGCAATAAATCTTACCACGTTCACATTAACCTCATATTTTTACAGAAAAAGGTGAACGAAAGTTGTACATTTGCCACTTCGCGTGGGAGAATGAAGCGTAGGGTAGTCTGGTGGATAAGGGTTTGCCAGTTACGCCGAAGGAGGGTTCGAATCCTATTTGGGTACTTTGTTTGATATTGCTTAAGAAAACTATGAACAACCAAACTTGTCCAATCACTTGCAAAATGGACGCGATCAGAGATATTACATTCAGCGTCATTCACAGTGGAATGATGGCGACAGGGATACTGTTGTAGGCACTCCAGGTAAAGGCTGATGATATTACATCCTGCAGTGAACCTGCAGTGAACTTTGTTTGTACTCCAGGGTAACAGAGGAATATTGTTGGACCCACAAGGAATAGCTAATGGTAGTATGTATCAACAGGTAACCGCTGATCGTCCTTCAGGTAACAGCCGATTGCTATTCCACAGTGGCCAACCAATACACTTTAAGGTCATGTGGACCCTGTCGGAATCAGTGTTGGTCCATAGCACCTGAGGTTTGCCGAGTAAAATGTGTATTAGGTGGTCAGAGGCTAAACTCGGCTCTTTGCCTGTCACTGTACTGATCTCGCTATCATGTGCGTTTATGTAACTATCACAAATAAATACTTTTCACACTTATTCCAACATGCATGTATTTAATGTTAACAAATGCAACTACAAAGTCATATACTACATATATAAATACTTTATTTATATATCCACATTACAAGAATTTCCTCGTTACAGCCAGGAAACCTCATCCAAAACGGGGTACCCGTAAGCAATCAACTACATTATATAGACATTACATAGTTGAAATCAGTGAGATACATTTCAGCAGCGTTTATTATGATTTATGCATGAAATGCTATCAGATACTTTAGTCACCTTTTAGTGCGGGTTGAAAGTGTTTTATTCGCCGAAGAAAAATGTCTTAGCGTTTTGACAAAAGCAGGCTTGTGAGCCTAGAGATATAATTTCAAAAGTGTATATTTTCTTTGCGGAGATATGCACACCATCTAGGCTATCTCGTGCATCATAGGAGGACCTATGACCGCTATGTGGTCGTGTGGAGGGTAATCAGACACATAATCTAGGTGCATTGCTCTCAGTTAACTTGTTTGACTCGTGTGCGTCAGCTGTGCACATTCTGGCGTGCAACTTGTAGGTGATGTGATGTGAGGTGTTTTAAATGATTGCTCTTATAGTGATAGGCATGCATGTGATTCTGACTGTTTGTATGTGTCGGGCCGCCACTGTTTCCCCATTGCTGACATAGTATACTTGTCCACTGAGATTATAAACAGTATACTCCACTCATGCGCATATACTCGCTGCAAACCCAGCAGTGTGGTTGATGGCCCTTGCTGCCACCGAGTCAGGGTAATAACAAGTACATGGACTATATTTAGTAGACGCGGCCACAGACCTCCGACCCTCTTTCCACTAGAAGGGGCGGTGGGGTAGCCTAGTAGTTAAAGTGTTCGCACGTCACGCCGAAGATCCGGGTTCGATTCCCCACATGGGCACAATGTGTGAAGCCCATTTCTGATGTCCCCCACCGTGATATTGCTGGAATATTGCTAAAAGCGGCGTAAAACTAAAGTCACTCACTCAATTTTAACTAGACAATAGGAGAGCTGTTTATTCCCTGTCACTAGATGTGTGTGTCCACGGACGTGTGTTCGGCTATCAGTTAGCGTGACTCAGTGAGAATCAGACATTGCAGTTTAGGCCTTCAGTTCTTGCGTTGACAAGGTTCGAGTTCCGGACGTGTAAAACCCGTTTTTGATGTCCCCTGCACGTGATAGATTTGATGCACTACGTTACCTCTAAACGCGGCATAAAATGCATTCAATTTGCTCATTTCCGTACTCTCATTCGAAATGAAGCCTTATAATTCATATATTCTGCTATTTCAAAAATTATCATGAATTACCATTTTTTGACATAACTTTTCACACATGTCCGTTCCCCGATGTGACGATGTAATTAAGTATATTAGAGGGTCTTTTCTCAGCCTTAACAGCATATGCTATTGGACATTTTAATATGAGTTATTTGACAAATATCTGGATAAGGGCAAATGAATTACACCTGAAGTGAAAAACCTTTGCAATTTACATAATCATGTTGAGGCCTCCCGCCATTATCACCTTGATAACGAGTTGAATGTATTTTTTCTTTGAAACTTCCCCGTGCCCTTTCTGTCGACGGTGTGATGGCTATACTACACAGTGCAGTGTTTTCACCCTCACGACATTACAAACCATGGGGTTTCACAAGATCGCGGGGAGATTAGTTTTTTTAATAATCGAGCGTTCTTAACAGGTGACCGATTTCTTTTGGGAACGTTCTCTTGGGCAAAGCCTATGTGTTATTATTTAAGAAGCATATGTCCCTCCCGATTGAATTAGTTATAATGGAATTTTGGATGCAGTTAAAAACTTGTTTTGAACATATCCCCGTTCTCTTAAAGGCAGCCCGCCGTGGAAAACATATCGACGTCCCGGTGTGTAGTGTTCTGCTTGACGTTGGCTTTACTATGACAACGATGCATAAGCAGCAATTCAATCAGTATTATTCGCAAAAGACGTACCGAGAATATATTTCGTTGAATGTTATTAGTTATTCTTGTTTAATTATGACGTTACGATAGGATAAGAAAGCCACAATTACTCGGTGCGCCTAGTGGCTGTATACTCCCCAGGGAGTTGAGATTGATAATACGATGTGCCGTTGAGATTGACATCCAATGATCGAGGGAAAAATACCAGCGCCTTGAGCATGCACTAGTTGCCTGGATATGTGCGCTATATAAATATCCTATAATAATAATATAATATAGTCGAAATCATTTGGTTTTGTTTAACCTGTACCTGTTTCTGACGGAGTTTATCAATTCTGTAAGTACGGGAGTTAACTGCATGAGACGAAACTATAGTAGGCTGTACAAACGTGGAACTAGTGAACGAATAATGGTTTCGAAAGCGTGTTATTTCTTCCTTCTGAAATGTGTCTTCGTTGATGTAGCCTTCTAAATAACTATATGTTTCTTGTAAAAGTTTTGTGAAAAGTCTTACATCTCATTTAGGTATGGCCTAACTATCTAGTTAATATGTTATATGGTCTCTGCTGTGAGTTGTTGAAAACTAGAAAGTGTATGCATTTCTGTTTTTAAACAATTGGTTAGAACATGTCAGATTTAGCAAAATTGGGTTGAACAATTCAGTTTTAGTTATATTTTAACCCTTAAATGGAAGGAATATGTTTAATTTGTTTAAAGGTTTACGGTATAAATGAGAGGCAGACAGTGCCTACTAGTCTGTCTCACAGCCCCTGAATCACATTATTTTCCTATCCACCCAGTCCTTTCTGCAATGCTTAAGTTCTAAATGAAGCAAGTCTAGATTTCCTCAGGTTCGCCTCTCACTGAGGTTCCTTTTCAATTCAAAAGGAATTGATTGTTTCTATCATAAGTGTATGTATTCAGAGACTAAGCGTTAGTCTAAGTGATTGCGTGCGGCATCACAAAGGCTGTGAGGCTTGACCTAGTTTGGGCCTGAATAGGCCACGGCCCTCGCGTTCTGTAGGAAGACACTGTTTGTTATTACTAAGGGAGGTAATCGTTTAGTAGTCCAAAACATGGTCCGCGATGTACAGGAAATGAAGGAAACCAATTGTTGTCATAGAGGATTTAACAGGGGTTGACGAAATATTTTGGTGATATTTATTAATTGTAAATATAATTTAACGAACAAAGGTTCATCACGTCTAAACTTAAGTATCCTTGCAACCATTTGAATACGAGTTCCTTCATTTCCCTATTTAAAGACTACCATTTCTCATTTGAATCTCAAATCAGTCCAATGCCCATGTCAAAGAGAACAAAGTAAAAACCAACTACATTGGTTTAAAATCCAAACAAAACGATGAAAGATTAATGAGTTGTAAACTCGAACTCTCTACAGCGCCTTTGGGCATGCGCACTGTTCACAGGAAGTGAACAAGAATCCACCCGAAAGCACAATACTCCCATTTTTAGGTTGACACTCCCCTGCTTAACCGGAAGAGCATGTGCACTCATTAACTTTGACCCCACAGGAGGAACCATGAAAGCCCCTTCGGTCTGGTGAACTGTGCCAGTGTTTGTTTTGTCCGGTGACAGAAGTGACCTTAGGCAATGGCCACGCCACATCGCCTTATTGAGTTACGGATGTGTTTCCTGTTTATCAGATCTGAAAAATGTACAGCTTCACTCCTGGAAACAGACACAGCCAGTTTGTTGAATTGCAGTGAAACTTGGGGATGGTTACTTGACTAAAGTTCCTTCTTGTGACGAACTAAAAAAGTTTAAGAGAAAATATGGAGGTGATGCTGTGTAACGACAGTTATCATCAATGGATACAATCAACACTTTAAACCATATGATAAATATATCGAAAACAAATTAACTGTAAATATAAAAACCATTCCTGATAATATAAGTCGGGTATTTTTTTTTCTGATGATGCTGAAAAAATAATGTTATTATTGTTTGGGTTTTTTGTGTGTGTGTTTTTCGTTGTTGTTGTTTGTTTTGTTGTTTTTGTTTGTTGTTGTTTTGTTGATTTTTGGGGGGGAATATGCCAGCCATATTGCTTGTTTACGCTTGACTCGTCCACGTTTTGAGCAATACTAGTCTTGCACCTACATTTAACCCATATGATGCGATATGGTATAAATACTGTGACCGTTGTCAGCAATACATTTTCAGATATGTCGACCCCCGGCAATAATCCTTATAATAATCAACAAGCTTCCTGGTTAAACTTGAAGCAACATATTGATAACGGCGTCACGCACTTGAATATGTGAAATGAACTTAGGTATGTAAGCATAATGGTAGCTGACAAGATTGAAAAAAATGTCTGTGGATTAAGTACCATAACAACTTAAGCAGCACATCGACCATCACTGCTACAATTCTCACCAGGAAATAGTGCAAATATACTGAACAAAAAAAGTTGTGGATCATAAAGAGTTTTCTGTAGTGAATAGTGGGCACTAATAGTCATAAAGTGTCATGATGATATTCATGATCCGAATGTTTTCTGTTCTGTATATTTGGTTGATCTCTATCGATACTTTCTTATCACATGTAATCGAATAAAGAGTGGACTTTTTGTCCCATAGGTGCGAGAAACGTCCTCAGTCGAATATATGACTGTGCACGTGTGAACAATACAAAAACATGAAAAGCGAAAAAACGAATATGAAGAAATGATTCGTTATTTTAGATATCTTGGATATCATGAAATAGAAAATAATTATTGCTATAATTAATAAACCAAAACTAACAGACTACATGATACAATCAGTAGTTTAGGGACAGCCTTGTGGGTGATTTCTGGTGGTTGGAGTCGACGTAATGTTTACAAATGGTTGAATTATACCCGGCAGGGACAAACAAACCGTCCACCTATGTAAATAGCGTTACCTACATGATAACACTGATCGTTTATTGCATTCCCGGATCGTCTTAGTGCAGAAAGAAAATTACAGGTACACACTGGCGTCCGCTCCTGAGATACTGCGGCCGGGGGTATTAGGTTCATGGTTTTCATTTTACAGGCTGTTATCGGGGCTGTCGGGAACCAAAGAATCCTTTACTTTGATGTATGTGTGAGGCAGTAAATGATGTTTTGTTGATATATTGAGCAATATCGATAAATACCGTCTCGTGGTGTCTGTTAAGCGAGGGGCGCCAGAATAGCCCTGTAGTTACAGCGTTTGCTCGTCAAGCATAAAGTCCTGGTTTTCTTGAGTACCTGTCCAATGTCTGAAGGCAGGGCAAGTCCCCTTCCCTGATGTTGTTGGAAGTTTGTTAATATGTCGATCGCTGTGTGGAGCCTGGGTGATCGGTGGGTGTTCCAGAGAGGTGACATTGCTGGAATATTGCTATGAACTTCACCTCATTACCCAGTCACAATCTTGCTATCAGGGATGAATCAGGTATCAAGGTTGATATGGTAATTAATTAACAGCATGTGTGAGAAATACGGTGACATTTCTACGGCACATCGTCATTCTTTTGAGATACACATACACCCATCTTCGGACCCAGGCTATTTGTCAGGTACAATACTTGTACTTCTTCTGAAGCCAAACGGGGACTGCATATTGGGCAAATGGTTGGACTGTATCCACATTTGAAGAATTGCTTAAATTTAGACTTTGAGAAAGTAACTACAAATTGGGAAAGCGATTCCACCTTTTCTATGTGTTTTTAAATGATAAACCCAAACTCATCGTGTGTACGAATGTGGAAGGTCATTCCACCGTTATTGCCAATAGGGAACACGAGTCGGTCATATCTACGAATTGAAAAGATCCAGGTGAGAAGCAGCCCGTGTTTGTAATAAGATCGGGTGGTCAGGCTCGCTGACTTGGTTGATACATGCCATCGTAGCCCAACTGTATAGACCGATGGTCATGCTGTTGGTCAATTGATTATCTGGTCCAGACTGGATTACTTACAGACCGCCGCCTTGCAGCTGGAATATTGCAGCGTTAACCAACACACAACCAATCTAGATCTGTTTTTTACGGATTGGAAAGTGAAGAAAATATGTCTATCTTATCTACGAATAGGTATACGTAACTTGAGCCGTAATGCAAAAACAAATATGGAACGTGTGTCAACAGTCGAATGTTAGATCCATCGTAACAAGGACAGCAGAAGGTTAAATACGGAACTGTTGCTAAAAGCGGCGTAAAATAATATTCACTCGCTCACTCGTATCTTACGAAAACGCTTGTCCAAGAATGACCGCTTGTATGTGGTGTTTCCGTCCCGTTTATGTATTGAGAAATGTACACGAGCGTGCGTATGTATAGAGGAACGTACTCGAGCGTACGTGTATATGGAGAGATGTACTTAAGCGTATGTATCTATGTATGGTGGGAAGTACTCAAGTGTGCGTATGTATAGAGGAACGTACTCGAGCGTACGTGTATATGGAGAGATGTACTTAAGCGTATGTATGTACATCTATATATGGTTGGAAGTACTCAAGCGTGCGTATGTATACAGGAACGTACTCAAGCGTGCGTATGTCTAGCGGAACGTACCCAAGCGTATGTATGTGTGCAGAAACGTACTCGAGCGTACCTATGTATGGAAAAACGAATTCAAGAGTACTAACACCACATATGTAAATTATATTTATAGATCCTCGTGTTTTAATCTTACTTGTGTATGGATGAACATAACCAAACATTCGCGTGTGTGGGGGAACGGAAACAATCGTATTGATGCACAGAGGAACGTACGCAAACGTACTTTTATGGAGGAACGTAATCAAATTACTTGGGTATGGAGGAACGTATCTCAACCCGAGGAACGTACTTTGCGTATAGAGGAACGACTCAAACGTACTTGGGTATGGAGGAACGTATCTCAACCGTACTATGAAACGAGCAACGTATCTACATTTATATTTATGTACGGGGGAACGTACTCAAACGTACTTGTGTATGGAGGAACGTATCTACATCCTATTTATGTTAGGGGAACGTACTCAAACGTATGTGTGTATGGAGGAACGTATCTCAACCGTACAATGTAACGAGGAACGTAGATTTAAGTACGGGTGAACGTACTCAAACGTACTTGTGTATGGAGGAACGTATCTCAACCGTGTAACGAGGAGTAGCGTATCTCAACCGTACAATGTAACGAGGAACGTAGAACGGTGAACGTACTCAAACGTACTTGTGTATGGAGGAACGTATCTCAACCGCAATGTAACGTACCGTACTATGAGGAGCCGTATCTCCCGTACAATGTAACGAGGAACGTAGATTTGGTACGGGTGAAGGAACGTACTCAAACGCATCCCGTGTTGGAATATCTCAGCTGTAGCCGGGTGAACTTCAAACGTTTGTGTTCCGTTTCCTAACCGGAGTGAGATCCCGTGTTTGAATTACCCTTCAGTGTGTTCCAGGGTGCCTACCCTACCTGACTGACACTTGTATATCCCAGTCCAACACATTAGGCAACTGACGAGGGGAAGGAAGCTATGTGTCATTTCAATGCGCAACTCTGTTCACAACAAATAGGAGAAATGACTTTGTTTCTTGCAAAACAAACGACTTCCACCTAATGGGATATACACGTGTTATATTAAATTATCATCTCCGCAAATGACATGCGACATGTGGTTCCCCGGTGTGTGCCAACCACTTACAGAACATGCACTTTCGCAGACAATCGTCTAGAGGCTTCAGATTAAATGTATGAACGTAATGATGAGGTCAGCAGACACGTCGGTGCAAGAGTGATGCCCGATTTCCCAAAGTGCGCCGGCACATCACTGGTGCTCGGCAAACCCGACTGTATCACAACCTGCCGGCATCACTCCAAGCAAGCTGTTCGTAAGAAAAACGACCTTCATTATCTGTTCTGCTCTGAAATTAACGCTTCTTCTGATACCTCGTGTTTTTTGTGCCCCTTACCTTCTGAATGTCTGTTAGTGGTGATTCCAGTTTAGAAAAAGGTATCTATATTCACACTTGTGTCTGTTCGTGGGGATTCCCTAGTCTAATAGTTATCTTGTATCACACCTTTGTCTGTTTGTGGGGATTCCCTAGTCGAATAGGTACCTTGTATCACACCTTTGTCTGTTTGTGGGGATTCCCTAGTCGAATAGGTACCTTGTATCACACCTTTGTCTGTTTGTGGGGATTCCCTAGTCGAATAGGTACCTTGTATCACACCTTTGTCTGTTTGTGGGGATTCCCTAGTGGAATAGGTACCTTGTATCACACCTTTGTCTGTTTGTGGGGATTCCCTAGTGGAATAGGTACCTTGTATCACACCTTTGTCTGTTTGTGGGGATTCCCTAGTCGAATAGGTACCTTCCACCATTGTCTGTTTGTGTGAATAGGTACCTTGTATCACACCTTTGTCTGTTTGTGGGGTCGAATTACCTATCACACCTTTGTCTGTTTGGTATTCCCTAGTGAATATCATCACACCTTTGTCTGTTTGTGGGGATTCCCTAGTAGAATAGGTAATTGTATCACACCTTGTCTGTTTGTGGGGATTCCCTAGTCGAATAGGTACCTAGTATCACACCTTGGTCTGTTTGTGGGGATTCCCTAGTAGAATAGGTACCTTGTATCACACCTTTGTCTGTTTGTGGGGATTCCCTAGTGGAATAGGTGCCTTGTATCACACCTTTGTCTGTTTGTGGAGATTTCCTAGTCGAAAAGGTGCTTTGTATCACACCTTTGTCTGTTTGTGGAGATTTTCTAGTCGAAAATCACACCTTTGTCTGTTGTGCCTTGAATCGTATCATCACGCTTTGTTTGTGGGGATTCTAGTTAAGTGTGTCTGTTTGTGGGGATTTTCGAATAGTCCTTTAGAAACACCTTTGTCTGTTTGCTTTGTATCATTGTACCACCTTTGTCTGTTGGTGGGGATTCCCTAGTCTGAATAATAGGTGCCTTGTATCACACCTTTGTCTGTTTGTGGGGATTCCCTAGTCGAATAGGTACCTTGTATCACACCTTTGTCTGTTTGTGGGGATTCCCTAGTCGAATAGGTACATTGTACCACACCCTTGTATGTCTGTTTGTGGGGATTCCCTAGTCGAATAGGTACCTTGTATCACACCTTTGTCTGTTTGTGGGGATTCCCTAGTGGAATAGGTGCCTTGTATCACACCTTTGTCTGTTTGTGGGGATTCCCTAGTGGAATAGGTACCTTGTACCACACCTTTGTCTGTTTGTGGGGATTCCCTAGTGGAATAGGTACCTTGTACATTGTACCACACCTTTGTCTGTTTGTGGGGATTCCCTAGTGGAATAGGTACCTTGTATCACACCTTTGTCTGTTTGTGGGGATTCCCTAGTGGAATAGGTACATTGTATCACACCTTTGTCTGTTTGTGGGGATTCCCTAGTGGAATAGGTACATTGTACCACACCTTGGTCTGTTTGTGGGGATTCTCTAATTGAATAAATGCCTTGTATCACACCTTTGTGTGTTTGTGGGGATTCCCTAATCGAACAGGTACCTTGTATCACACCCGTCCCAGTTTTCGCATGAGAATCCTCTTGAAGAGAAATGACGGAAATGAGGGCATAGTTGGTGCTGGGCGACGTATTGACGAAACGAGTAGGGGTAGGATATTCGACGCTTAATAAATCACATTTAGTTGGTCTTCGTCTATTTTCTACTTACCTCCACCTCCTGCTCCTGGTGTGAATAAGTACGCCCTGTTTCCAAGTACTGATAGTCTGAGACAGAAAACTCTCAGGCAATATAGCCACATCGTAGTTGTAAGATGTTTACTTTATTGAATGAACTCAGGGACTATCACAGAAAGATGAACTTCCTAATTGTACCTTGTGTTGTAATCCCGTCCGTCGCGGGAGTAATAGGCTTCAGTGGAAGGCTGAGAGTTCTCTTCAAGAAGTTGTCCCAATCTGTTAGATGTAGTTCCCCGATGTTACTCAAAGGAGCGTGGTAATAGCCTGCTCTCACTAAGGCTACATATACTGACGTCAATATGGGTTTATTTTGGCTTCCTGTAATTATATAATGTACAAAGCGTTAACATGAATGGTCTGTGTAGCGTTTTGCTGTCATTGAGTGTTTGGACGAATTAGTGACAGTGGCGGGTTTAAGTCAAATCTGATGAAGGTTGGGGTAAGTCGGTGCTAGTAACGGACGTTAATTACACTAGGGATTGCAACCAGTAAAATACTAATTTGCTGAGTTTGTCATCTAAATTGTGCAACCCCCAAAGAAAACCCCCTTTGTATGCTTGCAACATAAATCAAATGTAAAACAAAGTTTATTCGTTGTTTTAATTCGCTCGTTTTTGAATAGCTGTAAGTAGGGTGTATGTTTATGTCCTGGAGGAGTAGAGCACTGGAGATCCTGGCTGGAATCTGTCATCACCTACACATGCTTGCTGTAAGAAGCGACCTACGGATCAGAATAGCTATTCTCGAAACTTCGTAGCCCTACGAACTTCTTAAGCCCATTCTTAACACATTGGCTACGATCAAAGTTAAGAATTCTTAGAGCTACGAACGTTTCGAGAATAAGGGTTGTCAGATTAGATTACATATGGATGATGCATGTCATGGTATCCCAATCGATGTTCATATGTCAATCACTGGGATGTCTGGTCCAGGCTCAAAGATATTGCCGCGGGTGACGTTAGACCCCATATCTTACAGTGAAAGGTACGAATATTCATAGTGAATCATATGTGAAGGGTAAGAGGAAAAGAGTTTGAGAGAGTTTGGTTTTACACTGCACTGGACTGAACATCACAGCTTCAGCTTGGTGTGGGCGAAAAGCCCGCGGAGATGCAGGCCGTAGAAATGCCTGTTACTAGTGAGTGAGTGAGTGGAGTGAGTGAGTGAGTGAGTGAGTGAGTGAGTGAGTGAGTGAGTGAGTGTTGAGGAGAGCCGTGAGCCAGGCGAGTGAGTGAGTGAGAGTTTTAGTGAGTGAGACGCGAGTGAGGATCGAAGCGACCTGAGTGAGTGAGGGAGTGAGTGAGTGAGTGAGTGAGGCGAGTGAGAAGAGTGAGGAAAGTGAGTGAGAGTGAGTGACTGGAGTGAGTGAGTGAGTGAGCTGGTGGTGGTGAGTGAGCGGAGTGAGGCCGTGAGTGAGTGAGTGAGTGAGTGAGTGAGTGAGTGAGTGAGTGAGATTTTGTTTTTACGCCGCTTTAAGCAATATTCCAGCAATATCACGGTGACACCAGAAATGGGCTTCGCACATTGCACCAATGTGGGGAATCGAACCCGGATGACGAGCGCACGATTTAACCACCAGGCTACCCCACCGACTCTCCTATTACTAAACCTGGATAGTAAATGATAGTAACTCTGGGGAGGTGGGTAGCCTAGTAGTTAAAGCGTCACCCCGAAGACCCGCGTTCGATTCCCAACATGCAATGGATACAATGTGTGAAAACGATTATTGGAGTCCCCCGCCGTGATATTGCTGGAATATTGCTAAAAGCAGCGAAAAACTAAACTCACTCACTCATAGTAAATCTGGGATTCTACGACGCTGTTTATAAATACGGATACATATTTGACGATATATTGTTGTTATAATTATATTTTCAAACAGATATATTTCCTGTTTAGTACATCACGTGACATAAACCGGTGACCCACAAACCTGTTATAGCGCGACATTAATTAAGCACGTTATGCAACTCAAGGTTGAGGATATTCGTAAACTGCAAATAAATGGAACACGGGACTCGCATCAGTAAATACTGATCCAAATAAGTCAGATTTGAACTTCTATTTCGTTTAATGACATGATTCCAAAAGGACACTCTATAAGCAAACAGGGAAGGCTGTACGCCCTGGAGAGCTTACTATTGGCTAGATTCTCAGAAAGAGAAAAACATTTCGATGTGAAATGTGAACGGCTTCACCTTTAAATGAGAGCATTGCCTTAGAAATCTCTTTTCAATATCCAGCATACTTTTAAGAGACGCTATCATATTGCCAATATGTTTGTTTCGGTATGAGTCAGAGAGCTAGCTTCAACGTGTTTGTATTTACATGTTGTACAGAATGCAAAACGTAGGGTGAGGTTCGGGTTGTGGCCTTCAGTCTGCTTGTTGAAATGGGGGTGATCTTAACGAGGACTTCTACACAGTAGAAACCAAAGCCTGATATCAATACCCCTGCCTCTTTCTCTCTACCCCGACACCTTGCTACAAAAGCACCCGGGGTGGAGGGTCCTTTCGTAAATTGGTCGATGACTCACAGCAAGTTGCAAGCTTTAAAATACCTCAAACCACACAAATTAAGATATGGAGTTGTAGCTTTCTTTGTAGAGGTGTAGGGTTATGGAGTGAGATGGTCGGATTCTTCTGCGTCAGACGACCCCTGGAGATTATCGGCGTCGCATCGTGCTGTCGACTCGAGAGTGGCCTTTGTTAAACCCCGAAATTATCGCCAACGATGGTAATGTTTCCTATGCGGGCAGGTCTACCGTGCACGGGCCCAAGTGAGCTACGTTTTGCGTGAAATTGATGTGTACAACGCATTGACAATTTATTATAATCGACATCAAACAGATGTACGTAAACCCACGTATGTTGTGAGTAGGTAATATCGCGCCGTGTTAAGTGGGGCTATGGCAAAAGGGAACCAAATTCATGTCCCATAATACATCGTACTTCGTGGCAGTTATTATTATCATCCAAACAAGTAAAGACCATATTCATATCATTTGAAGCGACAGTGACGGACACACAAATCACACTATGAGCGCCATTACTCATCGGCAAAGTATACGATGTACCGAGGTGTATGTAAACACATGAACGCTATCATATGAGCTAAAGTAAACGTCTATAAATATTTTGACAAAAGGTAAACAAGTGTTTCTGTAGTTACCAAACTATTATTAATGTTTATGTTTATTTTGTACACATGAATTAGTCTCCAGATTTATAGATTTAAAAAGCGCTGAAGTGCACGTGATGCAATAGGATGAATACAGTACAGATTGTTCTAGAGTGTATACTGTCTTACTGGTGACCCAATTAACTTAAGCAGTATGCTGCCAGCAGAAATACCAAATCCTCCTCACCGACGATACGATAGAATAACGAGAACCCAAAATTCTTTCAGGGAGACATTCGAAAAGTAACATCTTTATGGTATATATGAATTTGCCGACTCGTTTTCGTTTACTTTCTCTTGGGGCGGTGGGGTTGCCTGGTTAAAGCGTTCGCTCGTCACGGCGAAGACCTGGGTTCGATTAACCACATGGGTACAATGTGTGAAGCCCATTTCTGGTGTCCCCTGTCGTAATATTGCAGGAATATTGCTAAAAGCGGCGTAAAACGTCACTCACTACTTTCTCTGGTTCAGAAGAAATTACAAAATGGAGGATTGGATATTCACATGAATCAAGAACTAACAGCTTTTTCAATGATGTTTCTATAAACATATTGAACGAAGTCTTCAGTGGGCCGAGGTAACACCGTTCATGTGTTTGTATATGTGGGTACGTTCTGTGGTAGTAGAACCCATACAACAGACCTTCCCCGAGTCCTTGAGTACACGGTGTAAAGGGGATGACAGTTTATGACATTGCAGGTGTGCATTTCATGTAGATTCACAACCGACATGGATCCCTATGTCATAATGAATACACATGTCACTATCTGGCCTTCGACGCGGCGGGTTTGTATTGACGGATTATCTGGTCTTTGGGTGTAACGAGGACATTATTTGCATAATGCTTTTATAATTGAAGAGGAATACATAATCGTATGTTAACAACTAAAGCTGTTTCATATTTCATTATTCGCTACCCATTTCAACTGAGTGCAAAGTATTTTTCTTCGATGATTTCAAGGTCGACGCGTGCGTGACGCGTACTTGATCTTTTCATACGGAAACCCCTAGTATTGCCGAGTGACCCCCCTCGTATAGTGTAGAGTGGTGCTGTGTGAAGGTATTATGTTTAATAGGTGGTCCTGACGTTGCGGAAACACTTCTTCACCTGGTATATTATACATGCAAGTAACAACACATTCTCCGTCCATGAGAACTACAGTACTATCAACACGTGTGAATATATACAAACCAGGGCTCTTATTCTCTAAACGTTGGTAGCCGTAAGAATTCTTAACTTGGTCGTAGCCAATGTGTTAAAAATGGGCTTAAGAAGTTCGTAGGACTACGAACGTTTCGGGAATAGCTAGCCAGGGCCCTTATTCTCGAAACGTTCTTAGGGCTACGAACGTTTCGAGAATAGCTAGTGAGGGCCCTTCTTCTCGAAACGTTCGTAGCCCTAAGAACTCTTAACTTTGATCGTAGCCAATGTTTTAAGAATTGGCTTAAGAAGTTCGTAGGGTTACTAATGTTTCGAGAATAGCTGGCCAGCTCGTTAAATGGACGGCATATCACTAATCTGAACATCGACTAACGCTTGGTCTCTGAATATATATAATCTTGATAATAACAAACAAGCCCTTTAAATTGAAAAGGAGCCCTAGGGAGACCAGAGATTCAGAACCCGAGGAAATCTAGACTTGCTTCACTTGGATTTAGCATTGCAGAAAGGGCTGGGCAGTACGAAAATAATGTGGTTCAGGGACTGTGAAACAGACTACGTATGTCATAATTATGGAATCAGGAAATGGAAGCATTTACGAAATGGCGGACGGCAAAAACCTGCTACAGCATGTGATAAAATCACCACTGCATTATACCCAGTGCCAGTCAAACGCCTGCCCATGCTATACACTACCCAGGGTCTCTTTAACGCCTTTTGAGTAGTACATGATACCGGGCACTGTGGAAATGCTGTGAATGTACCTCGGACCAATAATACTGCACGAATGTTGGTGAAACAATCTCTAAGTATCTTCTATTATACCTGTTATGTGGACACGATCTGTACACAGTTACTCGCTCTTTACCAACCAGTATGGTGGCTGGCCCTAAGTGAGAATTACGAGCTAGCTGCATATCGACTGTCGTGATATGTTCGCATTCATGCAATCAGTATTTGGTGTTACTACTTTGGATGTGTACTTTTCTCTGTACTCCTTACGAAATGGGTGGGTAGCTCGGCGGAACATGTGCAAGCTGTATCAGTCTGTGTTTGATAGACACAGGTTCAAAGTGAGTGAGTGAGTGAGTGAGTCTAGTTTTACGCCGCCTCAGTCACAATCCAGCTATATGGCGGTCGTCTGTAAATTATCGTGTCTGGACCAGACAATCCAGTTATCAACATCATCATCATGAGCATCGCAGTTGGGTACGAGGACATGACTGTGTCAACCAACTCAGAGCCTGACCACCCGATCCCGTTAGTCGCATCATAGGTTACTGAAGATCACTTCTAACCTGGATATTCACGGGTCGATTCAAGCAAGTACATACTAGAGTTCCTATGGCGATACAGTGATACTTCAGTACCTCAAATAAATATTTTGGACAACCGCTTCAAATACCCTTCTGTTAGCAATAAGCGAAATTCAAGCATTCACGAAAGTCTCTCGCTGTTAAGAAAGAAAGAAAGAAAGAATGAAAAATCTGTATTACCCTGAATGGGAATTGCTGTACATCATCACCGAGCACACACATGAATATAGGATAAATAAGATAAATAAAAGAGCGTTTGTCACAGGTAAAAGTACTGTAAATAAATCATTGAACACAGATTAAAAATATGCAGGAAAAACAGTTATGATTAATATAACAACAATGTACACATACAGGTAAAGATAAGATTTGTATGTGAAAAAAAATATCATTTATTGTTTAAAAAGCCGATGCTGGACAGGATGAACGATTTCAGGGCTCTATTTGATTGAAATTTTGGAATTTGGAAACGTCTGCCAGATGGTAAAAGTTTATATTCTGTGTTTACAATGTGTGAGGAGTCAGGTAAAGTTATATTTGCCAAAGTTAAAACTCTTTCCTCATACACGTAAACCAAAGGGTCGAAATCCACATGTGCGATTTTACTGCTTAAGTTGACGATTTTGTTAAGTTTGTTTCGGTTTTGACCTGACAGGGATCCATACCAGCTCTGGATTGAGAAGGTTAAGACGCTTTGAATAAAACTACGATAAAACAGTGAATGAATAGTTTTGTCAACATTAAAAGAGCGAAGTTTCCGAAAGAAATATAAACGTTGTTGACCTGTTTTTGTATAAAGCATCTGTATTATCATTCCAGTTCAATTTGTCATCAATTATTGTACCAAGATATTTGTAGTTCTTAACAATTTCAACATCTGAACCATGGACAGTGACTGGTAAATGCATAGGCTTACTTGTTAAGCAACTCACAACAGGTCCCGTTGTCTCATTTCCTCGCGGTTTCATCATGCGTCTCGTATGACCAAAGACTCAAGGCTAAGTATAATGTTATATTATGTCTTAACAGTATTTGACAACCGGGGAAAGAATAACACGTCTTTCTCCATTCGTCACTTGGCTGTGTATGGGACTCGCGCTCCATTTGCCGCCGATTCAAGCCCCAGTGAGCAGCTCTTCATCAAACAGCTTTCAGACAGGGTGTCGTCTAATTCCTTCTCATTGTTACGGGTTCTGAGAGTGACAAATGGCTTTGAATAGCATATCACAAAACCCATACATGCCGCCACTTACTCCACACTTTGACTGAAGCACGCTTCAAGGTATGAAACTGGTTCGTACAAAATGAGAAATAATACAAAACCGAACGAAGCACGAGTGTACATGGCCGAATGTTTGAATATAGCAGTCGTGGAAACGGAATTGTTTTGTGGATTTGGGAGACTGGGGACATGGCGCTACACTGCTGTGATCGTAGTCACCTCCGTCGTGCTATAAATGTTTAAATGATAACTCGAACAATAGCGCAAGGAGTCTCTATAAACACATCCAGCACGGCAGGTGAGTTTATGTCTGTGTGTGAAAGACAGCCTCAGTCACAAGTCCGGAACATAATTTACACAATTTTACCTACTGAACTTTTAAGTAATCAAGTAATTTCTATGCTATTCAAAAGCGCGCTATGCTTCACTTTCAACCCAATAGGAGGTAAGTAAAAAGGAAAAACCGCAAACTTTTATTCCCGTTTAAGAATGAGCCTCTTTATTCTTCCAGCGGTAGGTTTCATTAGAGGGTTTTCGTATAGATATTTTGTTGAAAGCGAGAGTTCATCAGTGAGATCATACAAGTGTGTTTATTGTAAGTCACAGTCACTCATCTGTCAATGGGAGACTTCAGAGAAAAGGTGAAACCACAAACCTTTATCTATCAGTAAAGTGGCGATTCGCTGACTAAAGAACCTGAATGGACGTTTGTTGAGGGAAACAGCGTTCACGACTCCCAGCAGTTCATTCGGTATATTACGAATTCGTTGTGAGAATACAGTACATATATATTTATCCCAATTCGTTCCAATGTAAGCGGTTATTAAAACATTTCACTGCGCATGCGTAAGTGCATGTGCATATTTAGAACCTGTATCGCGCCAGTCAATCACAGGTTTAAAACGTGATCTATGTACCGCTTCAATTAAAGTGGCAATTTTCAAATTGTAAAGGTTTATGAAGTGCGTGAATGCATTGTCATGCTTCCTCGTGACCCGATTGTGGCTCCGCGATGTCTACGCCGTCCGATCACAAATTATTTGTTCTCGACGAACTCTTGTAAATTGATTTTAATTGCTTGGAAAAAGTAGCAAACCCAAGGATCACCTTACGTACACATAAAGGGATAATCTTTCAAAACACGCGAAACAGAAAAAAAACTGTCAAGGAACTAACTTGGTGGTCCACGATCAATTGAAATATTAATTACTCTTCAAGTGTTTGACCTTCAGAGTTTCAAGGTCAATCATGGTTGATAAACCTTTTCGGAAGCGTCACAAGCCACTTATTTTAACTTATTTCCATTTTAAAAGTTTGAAATATTTATGATGAATCTCCATGGGGGTTAAACAACGTGTGACAGTTGTATAGTGAACGGGCGAACTGTATATCTGTGTATCTATTATGTCAGTGTCCTATCAGTTATATTTATTCCCACGGAACCCACTGGGTCTAGTGTACAAATCATGTCACACTCATTGAACCCAACACTTTGAGTGATATGTATCCTGTTTCTAAAACTGGCTTTTCTGCCCTTGATAATTATCTCTCAACCAACAATGGGATGCATTGATATTTTTAAATGTGTACAGTTACCATTGTATGGTTATGCATATTCTCTTAAAAGTGGATGGCAATTTATTGTTGTACTTCACTAACCATCTGCATCTTGCACCTTCTCATCTTCACATTACATGAACATAACGCCATGCCTCACAAACCCCACGACCATTCGTCAGCTCACCGCACCACACCTCAAAACGACAAAGAATTCACACGACACAAGGCCAGCATATTGCAGCAAAGCCAATACCACAATCATATCGCCTACCTTTAGTTTCATAGCCCCAGATCTTCGCATAGCTTCATACTATTCATTGAAACAATGTAAATGTTTTTTTCCATGATTTTTACATCATTGCGAAATCTCTCTACATTAACAGCTCTGTATAATGACGTGTCCATCAATTCCAGAATCACCCTCGTTTAAGGTAACCTTAGTGAAATGTTAAAGAATGGGAGTTAAGGTTAACCTTAGAAAAGGGTGCTTCGTGAAAAGAACCCCAGGGTGCCGTTGTACAAAGCGATCTTAGCGCTAAGGTGACCGTAACTCCCATACTTGTTTTGTACAAGGGCACACTTAGACTCATTTCACGAAGCAACCTTTACTAAGGTTAACCTTAACTCCCATTCTTTAACATTGCACTAAGGTTACCTTAGTGACTTACGATCCCCTTAATGCTTTGTGAAAGGAGGCCCTGGTGATGTGTTGTCATGGTATCCGAGGATCATGACTACCATGGCCACAACTATCAGAGCAATAACTAGATGTTCATGATTTTAATACCATTGCCAAAATCACTTCCAGCCTACATGTTTTGTCATAACTTTTACGACAAAACCAATCCCACCCAGAACATCACACCTATACAGACTGCAGCACCCGCAGTCATCCCCACTACTTTCACCCCCACCCCTTCAGTCCCTTATACATTCCTCACCACGCACACCCAACACCTTGGTAGGTGCCGACTCACAGTAGGGAGGACAGATCAGCCCGTGTCGTTATGGCAGAATAACGTCCCATGACGTGTTAAGT